TAGTCTGTGGGAATGACCTTGGGAGACAGGAGGGAGAGCCACAGACTGGACAAGGACCCGTAGAAGATACCTCGGCCCACAGAAGGAGGGGGCGTGGGAAACATTTCAGAAGGGACCTTCCCTAGTTTTCCGGAGAGCAACAGGGAAGGAGGGGAGAAATATTTTCAGTCTTGCAAGACTCTGTTAATGTAACCTCCCAATAAAGACAGAGCTAGTACTCCTGGTTGTGCTAACAAGTCCTGAAGGGGAGCTACAAATTGTGATCCTATGACCTAAAATTAAGGTTTTAATGTGAGAACGACATACAGGCTACCTATTTTCAGGCAGCGTTGCTGTTTTTAGGAACAATGGCACTTATTCCGGTGCAATCCTATGAAGTGAAGTTTATAAGGCAGCCCCCAGCCAGGCTCGGAGGATCTGCTCCGGGCTTCCCGCGACTCCCGTAGCGCTCGCTGCGAAGCTGCTCCAGGCAGGTTGGGAGGAAGGCTATCCTGGCCAGGGTCCCGGGGGCGGGGTTTCCCCCTCCTGCGATGCTGGAGTTCAAGCCGCGCCCACAGGAAGCCCGATCTGGGGGGCGGGGACCTTGCTCTGCCTCTGCCACTTTTTCTTTCTCCAGTTCTGTCTGTCCAGCTGCAGGTACGACTGAAGTGCGCCCTGAGGTTGGGAGTGCACGGGACGTGTGAAAGCAGACGGGGAACGAGAAAGGAGGCCCGTGGGATTGCGGGGGCGCCAGGAGTTTGGACACGGGGCCTGACAAGGAAGCGTGAGTAGGGCTCAAGCTGACTTTCGCTTCGGGGTGGCTGCGCTGTTTTCCCCGTCGTGAGGCGAAGCGAGGGCAGCGTTAAACCTCTTGCAAACTGCCCAGATGCAGCTTGGCAAAGGAGAGGTCGCTGCTCTTTGGGGCACCGCTTAAGGCGGGCATTTTCCTCCCGAGCCTTGTGTGGCTTCTGTGTGGCTTGCGGAGAAAGTTGCCGTTCGAATTGGTAGGCGGCACCGGAGTGGCGAGAGGGTGAGCGCGTGGGCCTTCCAAGGCTCAAAGCGAAGAAACAGGTGAAGGCTTCAGAGTCTGACATCGAGGGCATCTGTTCTGCCTGGTGGCGCTGGGTAGTCCTGAAAGGGAAGAAAGGCTGTTAAAACCGAAAGTGCTAATTTCTGCTTAGGGGCGCCTGGCAAGGAAGGGATGTGAGCCCTTCATGGAAAGGGGGAATGGAAGAAAATATTGGAGGAGGAAGGCTGTCAACTTCCAAGCTATCAGTGAGGATGAGAGGCAGAGTTCTTGAGAGGCCTTTTCCTGGGAGGAGCTGGTAAATAAAAGGGGGAGGTAAACAGCCTTTCCCAAAATCAGTGGTGGACTACTTTCTTTTCTCAGGGCCTGGATTAATGTTACACAAAGCCATGGTTTATTTAAATCAGGTTTGCTGAATATTCCTCAGTTGGCTGAGTTTCGCCTGACAAGAGAAGCTAACAAGCTGTAGTGCTTAAAAATCTTGTAAGCACTGACCAAAGGGTGGGGTGTAGATATGAGTGATACTTAAAAGCATGCACCAGCCTTCTCTAAATGAGAGCTCTGCAAATGGGCTGAAACTACTGTTAGATGCAGGCAGTGGCCTGGGCAAGATGCGTGATCAGAAGCCAGTGTTGTGAAACAGTGGCAGGGACTTATTGCTGATAATAAGATAAGAAGTCAAATTCTATGAGGCATCAAGGAAGGAGAAGAGAACTCTCTGTGAATGTCAGTTCCAGTGGCAGAACCAGTTTTTACTTTAATTCCTAGTATAGGATCCACACAATCATGGAGTGATGTGTAAATCTTGGTGGCTGACTTGACAGCTGGTGGTGGCTGATCTACCAAGTGGCTCAAAATTACCAACTGTTGATGCTATGTGGTATGACACAGTTGTGCTGAAGGAGCTGACCTGCAAACTGAGGGTTTGAAAAGGGGAGAGGACAGGTCAGAGACCCTGAGTTGAAGGGTGCAGATATACTTAATATACTTCAGGGGCAAGCAACATAATGTTTCTCAGATACTTGAGACTACAGTACCTACAACCCCTTGCCATTACATGTGTTAGCTGAGGCTGATGGGAGAGGAAATTCAAAACACCAGACAGGAAATAAGTTGCATACCCCTAGTGCAGTAGTTAGACAATTGGACAAAACAGGCCCAGAGTGAAATCCCTGTTTAGTCATGAAGTTACCAGACTGAGTTTGGGCTAGTCAATATCTGTCAGACTAACAGTAAATTATTTCAGCAACCAGTTGGACTGTAGGGCTAGTATCTGTAAAAGTAAACATAATTCTTAAAGCACTGACTCCAAGTCAGTGCTGTATACAATTTTTAAAATTAGACAAGAGCTTCCCCTTAGTTTACTATTTTAATCTAATCCTTCATCTGTGGGGTCGGCATTGCTGCTATCACAGATGTTAGTGTATGCCTTTTGGTCAGCTACCTGTTCTCCAAAGCAAACCTTCTCTTAAATCTAAGCTGTAAATTGTGGCTAAGCAGTTCAGCAGCACTGTAAGCTGAGAAAAAGGCTAAGTAGAGTTTCTTTTTGGCTAGGATGTACCATGAAATGGCTTTTAGACCCTGAGTTAAGAGGAAACCCAGATTGGTCTTAATTGGTATAATGTTCCTGAGGCTGGCTCCCAAGCACTGTGTCTGTATTGAAAGAATGCAGGGGTCATCTCAA